AAAAAAGGAATTATGGGAGATTCATTCAGATGGATCCTGCACTAAGGACGGATCAGGAGGAGGAGCGGTCCTCACCTCCCCTGAAGGCTTCAAGGCTTATCATTCCTTTAGGTTCACATTTCGGGCCACCAACAACGAAGCAGAATATGAGGCCCTCATTGGAGGAATCCAGATTGCCCTATTCATGAAGATAAAGCACATCCGCCTTAAATCCGATTCAAAATTAGCCATCGGGCAGCTAAAAGGAGAGATGGAGGCCAAGGAGGGGAGGTTGAAAAGATACAGGGACTGCGCCAGGACTCTACTTGGACAATTTGAGTCCTATGAACTCGTATATGTTCCAAGGGAGGAGAATGAAGAAGCGGATATGCTTGCCAAATTATGCAGGACCATTCCCGTCCACATGGAGGGTATGGTAAGGCAGCACGAGAGGATCTGTCCTGTTTGGGAAGAGGCGGTCCCTGTCCTTGAGATATCCGGTCCAGGTACAACTTGGATGAGCCCCCTGATCACATACCTTGAAAAGGGAGAGCTCCCTATTGACCCCAAGGAGGCCCGCAGAGTTCAATTAATGGCTCCCAAATATCAATTGGATGGGGAAAAATTGTATAAAAGGACCTTGGGGGGCCGATGCTCAAGTGCTTGAGTGAGAGAGAAGCGAGAAGAATATTGGAAGAAGTACACCAAGGAGTCTGTTCCGCCCATCAAGGTGCCCTTACTCTAGCGAGAAAGGTGATACTCCAAGGGTTCTATTGGCCCACTTTGAAGAAGGATGCACTGGAGTTGGTGAGGAGATGCCCAACTTGCCAAGCATTTGCACCAATCCCTGGACGCCCATCCACCTTTTACACCCCTGTCACTACAGCCATCCCTTTTCCTAGATGGGGGTTGGACTTGGTGGGTCCTTTTGCCCAAGGGGCTGGAAGGAAGAAATTTGCCATTGTGGCGATAGATTACTTTACCAAGTGGGTTGAAGCAGAGGCCCTTGTGAAGATCACTAAGGAGAATTGCCGTAAGTTCGTGTGGAAAAATTTGTTGTGCAGATTCGGTGTTCCTGAGCAAATCATAACGGACAATGGCACCCAATTTGCCAGCGCAAGTTTCAAGGAATTCTGTTATGCGTGGAAAATTAAACTCAGTCGGGCCGCCGTAGCTTACCCGCAATGCAATGGGCAAGTAGAAAACGCGAACAGGACGATTGTGGACGGCATCAAGAAGAGACTGCACGAGTTGGGCACGTCCTAGGTAGAAGAGCTGTCCTATGTGTTATGGGCCCATAGGACTACTCCAAGGAGAGCTACAGGAGAGACTCCCTTTGCCTTGGCTTATGGTTTTGAGGCAAAGGTACCTACCGAGGTCTTGGTCCCTACCACGAGGGTGGAAGCATACACTCCAAGCCTCAATGAGCAATTGATGGAAGTAGACTCCCATTTCACCCAAGAAAGGAGGGACGACGCGGCAATGAAGGCGGAAGAGTACCAGCGGCAATCCAAGAGGTACCACGACAAAAAAGCTGTAGTTCGGACGTTTGAAGTCGGAGATTGGGTCCTACGTAAAAGGGAGAAAAGTCAGCCCACTAAAGGAGGAAAATTAGCCCAGAATTGGGAAGGACCGTATCGTGTGGAGAAAGTGGTGCGTACAGGCACCTATCAGTTGGCTACATCGGAAGGGAAGGCATTGGACAATTATTGGAATGTGGAGCATCTCAAAAGATTCTACCAGTAAAAGCTACATGTTCAAGGTTCCGTCCTCCCATAATTTTTCAAGCCTCGCTTTTAAAGTTTTCTTTTTTCCTTTTGTTCAAAGAGAATGGATTGTATTGTGCTTAATATGAAGAAGAAATTTTCCATTCATCATCAATTGTTTCGGTCCATGAGATGTAAAAAAAAAAATATGAGGACCGTTCCTAAACAAACTAGGACCGATCCTTACAAAGAAGTAAGGACTGTTCCCATGGGTCCTAGGACCGATCCTTACAAAGAAGTGACAAAGCCAATACAAGAACACATGAGGACTTGAGAATTCAGGGCGAGGGAGAGGAACGGAGGAAAGAAGGCTCTGGTCCCATGGGTCCTGGGACGCCTGGAAACTTCAGCCAAGGATCTAGTCCATCAGAGTAAGGCTCCAGTCCACGATAAAATTTTTCTTGGAC